CCAAATAAATGGGTTAGGGGCGGCTAAGACCCAGATCAGGAAACCCCGAGGGTCTCTCTTTGCACGCTCCTTATTATACCTCGCTTTCGGCCCAACTATCTAGCACTCCTGGCCAGAGTCCTCCCTCGGGAGGAGAAACCATACTTTACTGCCGGAACCCTGATCTTGACTTTTTCGAAAGAATTAGGTGAACGGGTCCTCAAGATTAGAGAAAGCGACTATCGGCCTGAGGGGGACCCTCTGTGAGGGCTGACCCCCAACAGTTTATAGGGAAAGCCTCGTATAGGCTGTCGCCGGTGATGGAATGCTTAGCTCAATCCAGATCACACCCCGCCGCCGTGACTAGCCGTTTCTTAGAAGGCGTCTTACGACTCGCACCTACTGCACAACACCAATCTCACCCTCCACCAATAGGGGTGGTCACCAATAAGGTGAGTTGAGTACATTTTAAAATAAGCCGAAGCTGGACACCACAGATAAAATGCATAAATACATAAATAAGTATAATAATAATAATATATTAAAAGCATAAAATCAGACGCCACATTTAAAATAAAGTGCAGCAGGGCTAAAATGGCCAGAGGTTTTTCCCACAGGTTGCTGAATCACCTGTGGGGTTGCGCGCCGCGGCGCGTCCGAGGGGCATCGTAGTCCATGAATTCATTGTATATTTCGATGGAACTACGAAGTGCTATTAACGACATTGTTAGAAGCACGTGATTTTGAGAGATTCCTAACTTATTCAGGTTTTTGATGGTCTCCCTGGGCATCGCCCCTCTTGTTCCTACCACGACTGGCAGGAATTCAGCAGAGCAAGCTGCCCACCTCTGCTGGAATTGAGGTAGCAAGCGGCTATATTTTTTAACTTTGTTTGTAAACCCTTGAGCGAGATTGTTCCCGAGTTCGTGGCGGACTGTAACATCGACCACGAAGACCCTTCCCCGGTTTTGTATTACCAGGTCAGGTTATTGCTACCTCTGGGCCTTTCTTTTTGAGTTCTTGCACGATGAGGTTTTTGATCTCATCGTGCCTTCGACTCCTATGTGGTTTGGTGTGACGACATTGCCCAAATATGTGTCCCAATGTCTCAGTTTGTAAACCACATTGCCTGCATGTAGGATCCGGTATTCTGGTAGATCTACTCATGGCCGCCCTGTCAGCACATGAGTTGGTTCTCATCTTGAGGGCTGTAATCATGCGACATGGCTTGAGTAACGAGGGGTCCCCAAGCCATGCGTTTCCAATCTTGGAGTCGGCGAAGGCCGCTGCCGACTTTCCTTGAGAACCAAGGCGCTTCCATCTGGCAAGCTCAGCCTTCTTTTGCGTTCTAGTATAGCTGGCCAGTTGCTCCCCAGTAACTGGCCAAGCTATCCGGGCATCGAGAGCGAGTCGCCTAACTCTACTCTCGAGCTTAGTGCCCGTGGCAAGAGCTTGCATTGCCGGGTCGGGGTTGTCCGCGAACTTTAAGCCGGCTTTTAGGGCTGATGAGGTGGCAAGCCACACCAACCTCGGGATCGCAAGTCCCCCGTCCCTCTTACTGCAGTATAGTAAGGCGTTCGTTGTTGCCTGCGGCAGGTGAAGAATATTCTTCACCACTACCCGTAGCTCCTGGTCCATTAGTTTTATCTGTGTCATAGCCGGCATCGCTATGGACAACTGATATAGGTAGTGAGGAACAATGTAAGTGGAGATTAAGTCTCTCTCTGATGTGGTTTCAACTTCAGTCCCTGCACACGACTGAGAGTTGGTGCAAGGTCGGCTCGTATGCCCTCGGTTGTGACCCCAACCCAACTTGCATCCAAGGTAGACAAGATGATCGCCGGCCCCTGCTACCGGTATCACTTCTCCACTGTCGAGTTCAAGGCCTGGGTCAGTTAAGTATCAGGAGTCTTTGGTACGGTTTACACGGAAGGTGCGGCATTTATTAGCAGCAATCTTCATACCTAGACTCGATAGGTATGCTTCCGTGTTACTTAACTGGTCCTTAGCATGTGGTACAGTTTGCGCGACTAAGAGCAGATCGTCGGCAAATGCTAAGGACGATATCTGCGTCTCTGTGTCGATTTTGTACCCAGGTCTCGTTTCCAGCTTATCTAGTAAGGACTCCAAAGCTAGATTGAATAGTAATGGGCTGAGGGGGTCACCTCGCTTGACCCCCCGCTGGAGGCGTATCTCCATTGGCACCTGATCAAGTTCTATCACTGTGGTTACATCCTCATATGCGTTTTCCACGATACGTACCACCTGTTCGGGAAAGCCTTTGCGACGTAACGCGTGTCCTATAGCTTGGTGCGGCACGGTATCAAATGCTTTGGACACGTCCAGCTGCGTTACGACCAGGCCATTCTTGACTTTTGAGTGCCTCAGCAGCTCATTGAGGATGTGAATGTTGTTGAAGCACCCAGATTCGTTCATGAAGCCCTTTTGTCTGGATGAGAACCGTGCTATTGCCCCAAGTTTGCTGTCGATAATGCCAAATTAGATTCTCGACAGTAATGAAGAGATTGTAATTGGACGGTAGTTTTCAGCTAACATACCGTCCTTATCCTCTTTAGGGATCAATGTGGTTCGGTTCTTCCTCCAAGCGGTAGGATTATTACCGCTTATCATGATCAAATTAAAAAATAATTGGAGGACTTCGGTTGCACCGGGAACGCGTTTAACGTCTCCCTGTTTAATACCATCGGGCCCCGGTGCTGTGGACATTTTCATCCGGGAGAGACGCGTGTTCACCTCCTTCGCCGTTACTGCGGATAGGACAGTACCTAACTCAAGTGCTGGTTCGGAGGGCTCTCCCAGGAAGGGCACCTGTACCTCAGACGGATTTGTGCCCCCAAGCTTTCTGTACAGGTCCCGCACGTCTTGGGCTGGAGCTTTTACCCCTGGTTCCTCCAGCCAGTCCACGTTGTTACTGACGTGTTTGGCAAGAATACCTGGTTCCTTTTTGTATATGTCCTGGGTACGGGCGTAGAGGTACTGTCTGTTGCTCCTCTTATTTTGTCGTCTACGCCTTCAGTTTCGTCGCCCTGCAACTCCCCGCTCCTCGCTGACGAAGAGAGCGGTGACTCTGTCATGTATAATGTCTATTTGCGATTGGGGCTGCCCCATAGGCAAATCGCAAGCCTCGGAGATTGCATTTCTGAGCAGCTGGGTGACCGTGTTCACCTCCAGGTGTTGCTGTGGCGCTCGAGTCAACTTGCAGCTACGGGCAGTCTGAGCAACATCCTGTCTCCAAAGTGTCTCTTCTGGAGAAGCTGCTGGCAATACCCACTCATCTTCACTGACATTCAGTACCCTCTCTGACATGTCAGGCATCTGAGACGGACTTGTGTTTTCGGCAGTGGGGGTGATACTATTAACGTTATTTTCACCCCCTGCAATAATAATAATAATAATAATAATAATATATTTATTGCCCAGCAGATACATCCATTTAAAGGACAATGTAATTGAATAAAATTTGATGTTACAATATTTTCAACTACAATCATAGCTCACCCATTTTATGAAAAAAATAGGGGAGCCACCCCCTACTCTCGCAGCTGGCGGTTGCGGGCGCTTCTTCTTCGGGGACGGTAACTCTACCATCTCCTGTGTCTGTGGATAATGGTTCAGTACTGTCATCAGTACTAGCGCCCGCTATGATCCCTCTTTCTGCGAAGTATTTGTCTCGTCGTTCTTTATAATATTTCTGGGCCCTTTTGTCCCGGAGTTGTTTCAAAGTTTTCTCTGGTATCAGCTCCTGCATGCGCATTGCTATGCGCAACTCACCCCGGTATCGGAGTTCGCACTCCATCATTATTCCTTCCTCCTCTTCAGTGAAGATCACCAATCTTCTCTGTCGAGGAGACCGCCGTGTACCGGCTGCCCTAGCTTCGATTCGGGTGAGTGGATGCCGGTGCCGCTGGTGCTGTGCTAGTGCACCGCGGCCGGAGTACCTTTCGCCGCAATCGGGGCAGGCCACGCTTACCGATTCAGGTATAGGCAAGTTACTTGGTATTCCGTCAGTCTCGGAGTCTGTTGACTCTGGTGGTGGGGCACTTGGGGGCGTGACACAGTACCGCATGTTTGGATATATATATATATATATATATGTATATTCGAGCACATCCTGCATTTGAATCTATTTCGTATATCCCTGTGTTCAGATTTTAGATGTTTAACTTCATCGTTTATGGTCATGTGCAGGATGTTTATGCTTCTTTTGAGGCATAGGGAACATGACCTTTCTGTATAGGGGAGCAAAATTTCAATATCCTTGTCATCGCCATTTTCATCATCACGGGTCCCTTGTCTAGGATTTTGGGATGGTGTGGGCCCATCACCACCCCGATCTTCCGAGGCTATGTTTGTTCTGCTAGTAGCCTGTAAGTCATATGCGACTCGGCTGGCTGGGCGAAGCGCACGTCTTCCCCTAAGGGGTAAGATACAAGGTGGTCTGTATCTCGCCCTCGGTTTCCACACCGACCCCTTATAACTGTCCGCAGACAGGTCCCGACCGGGTAATCGGGGGCTTGGTTCCCTAGTTAGCCATCATCCTCGTTCAAATGCCAAACCAAAGGTAAGGCAGATGGATGAGCGTTGCCCAGTAGTCGCCGCGTGGAGGTCAGGAACCTTCGACCGCCATCAATACACCCGAACAAGCTAAAAATATTACACGTGGGGAGACATTTTGTTGAAACAATCGGAATGCAGTCCCTAACCTTCTACTACCGCTACACGTGGAGAGGGGGAAAGGCACGGAACGGTACAGCGTCGACAGAAGACAACTGATTGACGCGACGGAACGTGGAAATGTACACCTCCCTGTCCAACTTTGGGTATGAAGTATACGAGGGACGCTCGGTAAATCTCCACCCAAAATTACTAAAATGCTGGAATAACTTGTTTTGGAAGTGGTTTCGCTAGATAGTGGATAGGGACATGCTCAACGAAATCGTCTTGATTACCCACCTTACGGTTTTAACCTATGCACCTTCCCACTGCTTCTAGCAAAACCACTACCAAAGGAACCCACCAACCGCCGCCATCCAAAAATTAGCGAGGAAGGAAGTAACGCTAGACTTCGGTCTGACTGCAGAACACAAGAAACCACGTCGTCGCCAGTCTCCAAAAGGAGTGATCCTTTTAAGAAGGATCAGAGGCACCACTCTCTTAAGCTCCGGGATGCCCAATCCTCCATCTGTTATCTTAGCGTGGATGGCCGCATCAGAGGTGTGAGTTGCCATGTGCAAAAAGCGTTTTACGGCTCCCCGCACATGGCGATCAACATCCTTGAGCGTACTCCGAAGAACCAACGACGGCAGCACAAATGGCGTAAACCGTCCGTACGAACCGACGAAGTCCCGAAGCACGACGATACGCCACTGCGTGCCCTTGGCTCGAGAATACCGTGACAGCCGCCGCCACGTGAGCGAACGGCGCACGCGTTTCGCCTTACCGAGTAAGTAAAGAAACGATGAAAGTAGTGGTATTTCACCGGCGATGTTGCCATCTCCCACTTATGCTACACCTCTCATGTCTCCTTACAGTGCCAGACTAGAGTCAAGCTCAACAGGGTCTTCTTTCGCCGCTAATTTTTCCAAGCCCGTTCCCTTGGCAGTGGTTTCGCTAGATAGTGGGTAGGGACAGTGGGAATCTCGTTAATCCATTCATGCGCGTCACTAATTAGATGACGAGGCATTTGGCTATGTAAAATATTTATTCTTCGATAAATACATGTACCCCGTTGTTATGTGGTTGAAATTAAACTAACATTATGTTATATTACAATGTACAATTGTGGGATGCTTAAAGGCTTACTGCTAAATAAACAGATTAGCACATATTAAAATAATAAATTAAGGACGGGTTCACATACATAAAGGTATTAAAATTACGCCGTAGCCAACACAGGCACACAAACACATATTAGACAAAAATACGTGTCTGGTTACATATATCGGCCGCGGCCCACAACACCTTAAATATATATATATATATATATATATATATATATATATATCACACGCACCTAACCTATCAATGTATATGTACGGCACGATGGACAGCACAACAAGAAGTGTGTAAAAATGGTAAATCTAATAAAATAAATAGATAACTCTATATGTACGGCACGATGGACAGCACAACAAGAAGTGTATATAAATGGTAAATATAATAAAATAAATAAATAAACATTACAGTCACATATATTTAGCAGTATAGAACGGACCACAGCCCTGTAGACCATTGCACACAGGAGCGACGAAGGGGCGCCGAGAGATAGTACAGACGAAGCCTCCTCATTACATCGAGGCCAAATTCCCCGAGCCCCAAAAATTATGGCGTGAACTTCGATTGGTTTGTTCGGCCATAACTCTCGAGCAGCCTCGAGGAACTTGGCGTTGTCATACACCGCCTTTTTGTTATTATATATTTGTTGTAGAGGGATGTTACCCTCCCAGTTGACCCCCACGTCCGCCACAACGACGCGGTCTCCCTTCATGATAGCCATGTCTGGCTTGAAAAGAGTCCCGTAACGCCCCAACAACACTCCCATGTCCAACAGTGTCGAAGGCTTTACGGACGTCGAGTGAGACGACGCAGTACCCTTTTCCGGCGCCCACCCTATTCCTAATGTAGGCCTGAAGGACCATACAATTGGCGAGAGTGCCATCCACCGCAGTGAAGCCGCGTTGGTTAGTGCTCAGGGCGATGACTTCCCGTATGCGGTTAGCCATCGCCCTGTGCATCAGCCTCTGAAGGGCACTCCCGATAGTGAGTGGGCGCCAGTTAGCCGGGTCACACCGTTGACCATTTTTGTAAATAATTGTTGTGCGCGAACGGCGGAAGCAAACAGGGTGCACATTCAGTATCAAAATAATAGAGAATAGTACGGACAGCACCCTGTTGTTGGCCCGTTTCACGGAGGACACTGAAATTCCGTCGGCGCCAGGCGGGAGTCATAGTTACTCCCGCCGTTTACCCGCGCTTGCTTGAATTTCTTCACGTTGACATTCAGAGCACTGGGCAGAAATCACATTGAGACAACACCCGCAGGGGCCATCTCAATGCTTTGTTTTAATTAGACAGTCGGATTCCCCCGGTCCGTGCCAGTTCTGAGCTGACCGTTGAATGGCAGCCGAAGAGGACACCAGAACGCCCTTGCGAGCGCACTCTGGGCCTCGCAGGAAGACGGTTCCGCGGAAGGCCAAGACACGGTACCGAGTTCGGATCCGCAATCCTACCGCACACGCGCGAACGTATACGACTGAACGTTTCACCTCGCCCAGGCCCGGCACGTCAGCCGCGACCCGCTTCCTCGCCAAGCCCGACACGCCCCGATTCTCAAAGCCAATCCTTATCCCGAAGTTACGGATCCAATTTGCCGACTTCCCTTACCTACATTATTCCCTGGAAACTGGAGGCCGTACTGCAATTTGGGGATTAAATACTGTGTCAGAAGCGTAAGCTTCTGATCTGGCTTCAAGGGCGCGGTCTCTATGTTCCTTAGCCAGGCCTGAAGATTAGGAATATTAGCCTTATTGATACCAGTAGCGCCATAATTGTGCTCGAGATAATTAAAAGTGGAAATCATGTTAATTTGCGGTATCTTCTCACCGCTGACACTAAGGAAGTACCTAGTCACTGGCAGGGGCCACTTATCTCCCGAAGAGGTGACGGCACATAATGCGACGCACTTCTTCGCATTCAAAGCTAAACCCCTGCTGATTGAAAACGACTCTACCTCATCCAGCATCAGAGGCAAGTCGGTAATCCTATCCGCTAGCACGACGATATCGTCCGCAAACCCCATAGCGGCAATCCTCATTTCCGAGTTGAGCGCACCGCCACCCAGTCGCGGTTCAGTGTTTCAAGGAGTTCGTCCATGACTATGTTGAAGAGCAAGAGGGATAGTGGGTCGCCCTGTTTTACGCCCCAATGGATATGGATAGGGCGAGATATTTCTGATCCAACCTTAATGGTGGTGATACTTTCGGCGAGGGTGCTCGCCACATACTCCACTATCCTCTCTTCCAATCCAATCCTCCGGAGGCCTCTCAAGATGGAGGCATGCTGGACACAATCAAAGGCTTTGCGGAGGTCTACCGAGAGAACGTTATAGCTCTTCCCGGCATCCTTCCGCGACCCGATGAGGTGGTCCAAAATAAGCACGTTAGCCAGCGTGCCATCCATCTTTACAAAGCCCCTCTGGTGATGGCTAAGCTGGATTGCTACTCCAATACGGCCCTGAACGATCCTGTGAAGGAGCCGAAGCGTTGCAGTCCCGATGGTTATGGGTCGATGGTTTTCGGCCCTCCGTGATAGGACAGAACGCAGAGCGTTCTGCTACTTTGGGGTCCGCAATCGGTTCGTCGTCCCTAGCGGGTGAGGACTCCCAGATTCCGCCATATAACATTTCCACTTCCGCTAAGGAAGGGAGTTCGATAGACTCGTACATGCCCTGCCCTTTGAGCACGCGTACTGCGAGGCCAGATCTGTCCTTGGCATAGAGGTCCTGTGCCTTCTTGTACTCGGCCGCGCGCTTGCCGCTGCCGCCTTTGGCCTGATTGTAATGCCTACCGGGTTTACTGGCACCTCTCGTGCTATTGATGTTACTTCGTTTATTTGATGTAAACCCAACGGTCGAGAGCGGCCGTCAGTTGTTCTGTGGAGCCGAGAAGCGCCATATCGATGACGCGACGGATCTCCCCATGCTCAGGAAGATTGAATCCGCGTCGAGCATCTCGCAGGTACTCTACAAAAGTAGAGTTTATTTGCACCTTTGCTGTGAGATCTCTCAGCGGAAATGGAGGCAGCACTGCCTCGGGAGCATGGGGAGTCGCGGTCGTATTACGACCGGAGGGGTTACCAGGCCCGGAATGGTGAGCTGCGTTTTCACGCAGCGATACGGGTACTTTAGAAGGCGCTGGTTCTATGCCAAGTTGGTCGCTATGACTGGCAACTACAAGTCTGGGTTCTTTGAACTTTGTTTGAATTGGAGAGCCGCCCTCTCTCCTCTTCATCTTGCCATCTCTGTCATTTTTTGGCGCACCGTTGGAATCGGTAGCCTTAGAGCCGTCTTCCTCTTAGCGGGGTTGAGGTCAGCAACTCTCCCTCATCCGCTTCTGCCTTGCCGATACCATCGGAAGCAAAGGAGACTCGATGTCCTGCGAAAGAGGCTCGTTTTCGCAGGAGGTTGGTTGTTTTGAAGTACCCTTTCCTTCGAGCACGGGCGTCTGGCAGACCGCGAAGGATTTGCTTGTAGATACGGTAGGGAAAGAAGATTTTGATGGTAAAATCCGAGTACCAGAGGCCCGGAGTTGCTTCCGGGCGAGTTCAAGATATCTCTGATACTCGGGCTTCCTCCTGAACCGCACCTGATCGACAGTGAGACCTGTGGCTTCAGCCATACTCTTATTTACTCTCCCGGCTGGTTCACGGGCTTCGATCCTCGCCATGATCTGTAAGATCTCTGGTTCTGGCAGAGGACCGCGCATCGTCTCTGTCCCACCGGCATATTCCACCGGGTGTGCCCTCCGCTCGTGCTGTCGGGTGGACTTGAAACTGCCAAATCTCATTGGACAGTGTTTACATTGGAGCCTGTCTTCGCATGCTCTCGCCATCGTGTGCGTTCGTAGCTGCACTGCCGACGTAAAAGCAGTGTCACACGTCGTGCAATAGTAGTTCGGGGAGGACTTGGCGCCAGTATTGCATGTCTTGGCACCGCTGACGGGCTTCGCCTTTGATTTGTCTGTCCTTCCCTTGTCCTCACTCCCGCGTTTGCTGGATGCGGGTTGGGCCAGGGGTAGATCTGGCCCGTTGTTAGTAGGACCGGCGCCTTGGTCAGTCTCGCGCCACTGTTCTTGGGGGTCGCGGTGAGAGCGTTCAATCCGGAAATTAGCCTCCGCGCCATAATAATAGCACGGGCCCGACTCTCGGTTGGATTGAAAAATCTGGAACCTTCCCGGGTGAGCCACAAGTACACAAATATATATATATATGATATATGGTGGCAGTAAAACACCTGATGCGGACCTACACATCATAATAGTGGTAGCACTTTTAGTCTCGGGATATTTGGTACCGCGTTTGAATAACATTTTTTTCTTTCCTGGATCATCTTGTAGATTGGTTTCATCGTAATTGAACACGTTTGATGGTGGAATACCATCCAGAATGAGGCGTAAACTATTAAAATAATCTTGCATGATTTGCCTTGACACAGAAGCTCGAGAGCGTTTAA